ACTTTTAGGGCTTAGGCACGTTTTCCCACAATACTGAAAAAAATGCGTCTGGAAAAAATCACCGTCTGCATCTTTAAAGCCAATCAGGTGCAGCCTAACGTCGACGATAGCAGTGATTGAAGTGAGCAGGGCTGTTGTGTGGAGCGACCGAACGCTTTCCTCCCTTCACCCCGTGCTCTCCGGGCCCCTCCGGATCCACAGACGATAAAGTTCTGTGACAGCGTTTGATGAATGTTTAATCCAAAACCATGTCCCAGTCTGGAATCCGGTCCCCCATCCCTGACACGTTAGAGAGGGCCTCAAATATTTATCCACGACACGAGTCATTAACAATACAGAGCGCCTTCTTTTATTCATCGCTATTATCCAAACAAAAGACTTAAAAATGTTCCTTTAAAAGTCTGAGATTTCATATTTGTCACGCTCATTTGTAACGATTTGTTTGGTGATAAATAATCTCTGGCTGTGATGTGGCGTCAGGCAGCTGTGGGGAGAGGGAGGACCGTCAGTTGTCATTGGTGGGAAATTAGTGATGATGATATGAAGATAAGAAAACCTTTATTTGTTCCATACAGGGGCGATTTAGATGTTGCAGCAAACACATACAGTTTATTTTGGTATAGCCCTAAATCACAACCAATGTATCTCCGAGGACGTTAAAAAACTGTCCAATTTGCAAACACAGACTAGAAAATCAAACAATTCAAATACAAGAAATGCAATGATAAAAAACGTACAAAGCCAAGAAGGTCTATACCAACCTAAAATAAAACTAGCATTAAAAGAAGCCGTTTAAAATCTCTATCTTTAGCATATTAAGGAAAGAAGTGCAATATAGACTGCACTGTAGGCTTAGGGTAGGTGCAATATAGACTATAGCACTTTAGGTATTTGGCAAGTGCAATAAAATACTGTACTGATCACGTTTAAAATGTTGGTTCTAGCTTTCAGAGCCTTGCGTGGTCAAGCTCCTTCTTACTTCAGTTTTCTGATCCAGCCTCACACCCTCAGGCTCTGAGGTCTGTGGATCAAAATCTGCTAAAGGTTCCACGCACTTGTTTTCGTACAAGAGGTGACCGATCCTTCCAGGCTGTTGCTCCCAGGCTTTGGAACGATCTTCCGCCCTCTTTGCGCTCTACTGACTCTGTTGATACTTTTAAAAGCAATCTTAAGACTCATGTATTTGTTCAAGCCTTTAATTAGCTATTTTTGGGCTGATACGATTTCTGTGTTGTTTTGACCCTTTTTATATTGTATTTAATTTTGTGATGTTTTACTGTGTTGTGAAGCACTTTGTGGCCTTTGTCTGTGAAAGGTGCTATACAAATAAAGATTACTTACTTACTTACTTAAAGACCTTATGCCGGGTTTGATTTATTTAGAAACACAGTTTTAATACTATTTTATATTAGAAGAGAACTACTAAAGGTTTCAAAATCAGTTGTTGTTTTTTTTCTCTGATCCCCCCAAATCGAAATAACCCCATAGCAACGCCCTTAGAGACAAAAAAACTTCACAGCCCTTGGTGACGTCAGAACGGGTACGTTTCAACGCTGTAAGTTTGGTATTCGTTCTTTTTGCACTGAGATAGTCCAGTGGTTGTGTTGATGGACTGACAATCCAGATACTAGGGTTCAAATCCCAATTGAGACACTTTTTCACTCTCAAAACGGCAATTTATGTGTAGTGAGCAATTGTCACCTGTAGAGTGCAGTATTGTGTTGGGCATCAGTTGAGAGAAGAGAGAAAAGGCAGTCCTGTGGCATAGATCCATGGTTTTCAAAGCATGGGCGTAACCCGCTATGACGTCACACACAGGTTAGAGCATAGACAACTTAAATTCATGAAAAACACGTTCTTTTTATAAAATATACGATTTTTTTTGCCAGAATCTCTTTCAGATCGACATTGTCCTGCAATTTTGATATCCACAATTAAAAAAAAAAAAACCCGGCATAAGGTCTTTAAGGTTTCTGAAGTGCAAGATTGCGTGGTGCTCTCCGTTTTGATGTCCTGTTATTAACTGTTTTTCTTTGGTTCCAGAGGTCTCAGATGTGGCTCTTACCTGTGTCTATTTTGGTCTGTTAAAGGTGTTTAGGAGGATTTTCTACTGCCTGGTGGATCATCAAGACTATTGGTCCTCCCAATTGTCAATCATTCCGGTGATACGTGCTCGTCAAATAAGAGCAGAGAGTTTTGTTCAAAAAATGGAGAGGGCGGTTCTTTCCTAAAAATTGGGAAAAACCTTAACGTTGAATGTTTGTTGTCTACTGCGGTGTCTGCAAATGTATGTGGTGTAAAGCAAAAAACAAATTTATCTTAACGGGAGACACTAAAGGAGTATCTTATCTTATCTTAAAGGTACACTGTGTAGTTTTTACTCCCATCTAGCATTGAGATCATATATTGTAATTTACGGTACTATAGGGAAGCTTTGCACAACAATATATCGTCTTTGACAGTGGTCCCCAACTCCCTGTCAAACTCCTTTTTGTCCCTTATCAGCCACTGTATTTCAAAATGGTGCATTGACACTTAGAGTCCTCCAGCTCTCATGTACTTTCATAAGTAAAATTCTAAGACTATGACAATTCAAAAACATGGTAGAGGTAGATATTCTTAAAAAGGTCACATTTGTTATTGGTTAATATGTTTTTTCATTTGGAGCAACTGTAAAAATGACACAGAGGACCTTTAAATCTAAAATCTCCAACTTTAGCCTGATGACAAAGAAGCATTCTGTAATTATTAACGCCGCCGTGCCAGGATTGATTAGAGCCGGAGCGGGTGACACAGGTGGGCTCTGTCGGCCGCAGGGAGCCCCCCATCTCCTCGTTCCTCATTCGCCGTGATGGATTTGACTTCACTCTCTGTAACCGGGGGTGGGACGGCAGTTTGCGACACGGTGACAGCTACATTATTGGACGTTACGCAGATCGTAGATGTCAAAAAAGTGAGACGTGTGAAATGATGCATGTCCTGAAGGAGACAAGCATCAGATTATGAAATATTAGCGCGTGGAGTTCTAGACTGGCCAGGCGGCACGGCAGAAGTGCTCAGCCTCACAGCAAGAGAGTTCAGGGTTTGATTGAAGAGCAAGTGGTCTGTGGAGTTTCCTCTCATAAAAGCATAATGTTAATTCTATTTCAAAAGATTACAAAATATAATGAAACTTGCAATTTGATTTCTTGATTGCGAAAGTTGTTTTTCTTGTGGAATATTTAAGGATGTGACAAGCGTTTGGAATTGAATCTCCTTTGCTGTAATCAGTCATATACTGTATTTTTCTGTTTGTGTTGGTATTGAAAAGATCAGAAATCCACAAAGGGAATGTTCCATTTGGAATAAATAAAAAAATGAATTAAGTTTGTTTATTGTATGTCATTCTTTTGTTTACTGTTTGTTTATAAAATACAGACGTAAAAACACACATACTAAAATACAGCTAAAAAAAACAGACAACAGTGTGTGAGCCTGCTGCGGTGTATGTGTGTGTGTGTGTGTGTGTGTGCCTCCTTGTGTGTGTATATGAGTGAGTATGTGTTTGCATGCTTATGTGTGAGTGTGTGTGTATTTGTGTGAGTGTGCAGTGGTGTGTGCGTAAACTTAGTAATATAATAAATGAGTAAAACAAATACTAAATAAAATAGAATAGTTTGTGTTAAATGGGTAACTAATGTTTGACAATATGTATTTGATCATAAAAATACTATTTGATCCACCCACCACCCTCTCCCTCTTTTTGTGTGTACACAAATGCCTGTGTCTAGGCTGGGGGTGCATCTCTCATCTGTCCTGTATCCATAACAATGTTTGTATGTGTGCTTTGTACGTGTCTTTTTTCCCACACTAAACATGTTCAGTGCCTTAAACACACACAAAAGGGTGGTGGGAGGATTAGGGCAGGCTTTGATTTTAAGAATTGAGTTGGGTACAAATCATAGGTGTTGATAGTGGTGACACAAAGAACCAATTTTTGCGGGATAATAAAAACTGCTAACAGTAACAATAATTCTTGAAATCATTGTTCATTGCTTTGATAGCCACACATTCCAGTGGCACTATCTGTTATTTTTTTTTTACATGGCTAGATCATAGATTTGTGCCTTGCAAATTCATCATTTTCATCTGATCCCAGGAACATCAGGCAGTGCCCCAGACTAAAGGGCAGGAATAGTGAAGCCTTGTCTGCCTGACGTGTCGTATTATTCAGTGTAAATGAATGTGTCACATATTACGACTGTTTCTCCCTGTGGATGTCATTAAAGTTTCATCTAATCACCTCTAATGAACACAGGAGCCGGCGTGTCCTGACACATTGCCTCTATCATTCTCCCCACTCTGAAAACACTGTTCAATAATGTATTAAAGTGTAAATAACTCATTTTAAAAAGATGAAATGTGTATGTACATTATAGCCTATTATAAACTGCTGGTTATTAGAACATGACATATCATTCCAATAGAGTGGGTATAGATGAGTGGATAAAGTGGTTACATCCTCTTCAGTCACTATAAGCTCCATGAGGAAGTCAGATTTCTAGACCAACGTAGATGCAAATGAGTAATTTCAGTAGTTTTTGGAAAAGTTTTCATAACATTCTTGTGCTTTTTGGAATTTTCTTTGTGTAAAGAGAACTTTTTAAGTAACAAAAATACTTCATTCATTCATTCATTCATTGTTTACTTAACACATAAGGAATATAATCTGTGTTATTGCAGTTTTGAGAAATCTTGTATATTGCAGTGTCAGTGTATCAGTGTACATTGTGTATGTTGCTGCTGGATGTTGTTTTGAAAATTAAGAAATTTAGTTTTTTCTGACAAATTTTATAAAAATTAATTGGAATCATATTGAAATGATAAAATGTTAAAATTGGACCAAAACGTGTTGCAATGAATGACAGTGGAATTAGGTGAATCTTTTGTGTGGTAAATTATTTAGATTGAGAAAGGAAGTCCACTCTGCGTCATGACGTACTTCCTCAGCGTAAACAAAGATGGCGGCGCCCGCACAGACCGCTGCGGCTGCTGTCACTAAAGTTGTGATTAAAACTGAACCGAGTGATGAAGAGGAGCACGGACGTGAGGAGAAGGACGAGGCACAGCTGCAGGAGCCCGTGGTGCCGCTGCTGGCCCCGGTGTGCGGGCTCCAGCCGCTGCACTGGTCCCAGGACCACAGGCTGTGTGTGGGCACCAACACCGGGCTGAGTGTGATGGAGCTCCGCGGAGAACCCCCGAGCCCCGCTGGCCGAAGCGAAGACCCCCTGAGCTCCAGCCCACAACTCAACATTCACCGCAGCTCTCTGCCTGCCACTAACGACCACCACATCCAGGTCACTGTTTGCATTCACTTGTAGTTATTCAATTCAATTATCTTTATTTACAAAACTTCAACTACTCATTCACATACTAATGTCTAAGTTTGTAAATTAAAGGGAACTCCCAGGAAACTGCAGTAACCTGCACGTAAACAAACTATTATACCTGAATACATTCCTAAGTCATTTCTAAACATTTGACCCATTCACTCATCCTACACTTTTAGTTTGTACTCTTCAGTTCATGTTCTAGTGGTTGGTCTTACGCACAGTAATAGGGTTTAGAGTGTTTCTTGCCGATGCAGGAGGGTCTGTTGGACCCTTGTGAGGGTCTAAAAGGACAGTGGTGATCATCCAGAACATTTATGGACATTGGTCATCTGCCCTTATGGACCAATGGCTCTGTGTTTTATCATTGCATTTCTTGAGTTTGGTCTGTTTGATTCTTCGATCTGTGTTGGTGAATTCAATGGTTTTGTCAAGTCCTCTGAGATACTGCTGTTGTGATTTAGGGCTATGCAAAATCAATCGAATTGGGTTGATATGAATAGTAATGCAACTTGTGACGCATATATCCATAACATGTATATCATGTCCATGTGTGACTTTTCCACAAACTACAGCACAGTTTACTGAAAACTCAAACTTCCAGGTCGTTCGTGTACTGTTTTTTTCTAACGCTGCCTCGGCCTTTCATTTTTACGACAAGCCTTAGTATTAAAACAATGAATCGCATGCCAACAACACAGCTGAATATAGCACATGAAATCCGGTGATTGCCAAGTCAATATTAAATTGAGAGCTTTTACTATGGTTCTTGTGCCTTTTTTAACCAAACAATTTGGAAATATGGAAATGCAAAAGTCGTGGACAGAAGAGAGAGGCATGTAATCCAGAACAAATGTTTCTGCTGTGGTTAGCCTGTTCCCAGCTGCTCGGGCGTGTAGATAAATGCGCCGCTCTCCAAAACGCAAGTTGGCGCAAGAAATACCAGGAGTGGCTTAATTTTACAGCCAGCTAAGCACAGTGACAGACGGGCACAGTTGGGATGAAGCCACCAGTTACATTTTACCAGGGCTTGTAATTGCAGTGTTACACCACTTTGTGAGAAAGCATTTTAGAACATGTCCATTTTAAACCTTAATAATCCTTTAATAAGAATGACATATTTCTAATTCAATTACATGGGAATGTAATAATCTATCTGGCATAATGCACTATGCTCTCTGCTACATGCCTCACATGTCAGTGAGGAACAGCCAACTCCACGACTGCACAACCTAAAATCATATTACCATTTAGGATCGTGTCCAACAAATAACCAAATGTTTTTCAAATGTCTTCCTGGTGTACTTCGATTTCTGCCAAGTTACATTGGAGCACATGATTCAGCTATTAAAGATCTCAACTCACAGTAAGAAGGTCCTGGGTTCGACTTCTGAGCTGTGTGAAGCCTGTCTTTGTAGAGTTTGCATGTTTTCCTTGCGTCTTTGAAATAAATAAATCAATCTATCAACCGATCTTTATTCCCATTTAACATGTTTTCATTATCAAAATGTATTCTTTATCGTTTCTCACCTGCATTGTTATATTCCCAGGTTGGACCTCCGAAGACTCTGGAACAAGCATACCAGAAGTTCTCCATGTTTCAGGACCCTGTGACCCAACAGGCATTTCTCGCCAACACCGCCATGAACCCGAAACTACAGCGACTGAAAGGAGTCAAGTACGTGAGCTGGTCTCCGCTGGGCTGCGACTCTCATGGGAACTGTCTCCTCGCCTGCATCACTCTGGACCACAAACTCGTCGTGTACCAAAGCCACAGGCATCTGGAATGGGACACGAAAGTCGACCTCAGCCAAAAGTACGGGGCAAGGCTAAAACAACGTGGCTACGCTAAAAAGGACAATGTACCGCCGCAAGTTGGCATACTCAACTTTGAAGAACTGCGTAGGCGCTTTGAAATGCAAACGCCGGTGGGGATGGAGTGGTCTAGCGTCTATACCACCAAACAAGTACTCCCCAACAACATATGTGAGGAATCTAAAGTCGTCATGCTAGCGGTTTTGATGGAAAACGGCGACTTGGTCTTGTGGAAGTTTGCGCTACCGTTTTGCGGCGAAGATGACGTGGGGTTTTACGACATCATCGAGTCCGAGGTGGATCGTCCGAGCGCCCTGGCATGGTGGGAGTACGAAAGTGAAAACCGGAGAATGAGCGGGTTGATCTTGGGCAGCCAAGCGGGGCCGGTGAAGATCATGCCCGTTAGCTTGACGGGAATCAAGGGCTACTTCACGTTGCGGCATCCCATCGTCCTGTGGAAAGATGCGGACCAGATCATGGTGAAAAACATCAACTGCGTGCCCGTGACGCACCCCACTCACAACACCAACTCTAGCCTCATCATTGCGTCGCGTGGATGCTACATTTTCTGGTGTTTGCTAACAGTTTCGAACGCCGGCTTGAAAATCAACAACTCTCACGTCGCAGGACTATTCTCTCTTCCTGTTGTTTCGTTAACAGTCTGTCAACAACCCGTCGCTGTGTACACCTGCTCCTCGGACGGATGGGTCAAGCGATTAACGCCGACTTTTACAGAGAAAGGATTATTTTTCAAGCAAGAAGATTTGAAGCGTCCGCAGAGTTTGACCGCAAGGCGTATACACGGGTTAGCGGTTAGCCACAACGGAGCTTACGTGGCCATTGCTAGCACGCAAGGAATGGACAACAATGGCTTTTGCCCATTCGAGAGGACGTACCACGTGCACTTCTTGGCGCTGAAATCGGCAAAAAGCGCAGGCAAAATATTACTCTGCCCCCCCGTGCAGAGTTTGCACAATATGGCAGACCTTCTCTCAATTGTCCGCTGCGAAATACTGCGGAGTAAGCGTATCCCCACGGATTTGCAGCAGGAGCTGGACAGACGGATCCAGGAGGAAGATCTGACGTACTTGTGGAAGCTGAAGCTGTTTTTGGCGCGGACTTTATACCTGGCGCTGCAGGGGCCGAGCGACGCACCAAAATGGAAGCCGCGGCAAGAGATGTCGACGACGCTGATCCCGGATGGAGACGAGATGGAGACTGAAGGAGAGAGGCACAGAGGCATCAATACACACATTTTACTCGAGGTGAGATATGCTTTTATTTATTATTTTTTACAGAAGAATGGCGGCATGGCCTCTTTTTTTAGATCAAAAGACTCCCATTTAAAACTAATGTATTTTGCTAAATGCACTTGAAATGTTTTTATAAAAAAATATCTTTATCCTATAAATAATCATCATATTATTCATCTATAGTATTTTCTATGAGTCACGTTCACTATAAAAGAGGGAATCAGAATCTTCTGCTATAACCTGGTGAACTAATTGTCCTATTTGTCCAATGTTTATTGCACACAATTTTTTTTGACATTTTCAACCAATACATTTGTAGTGCACTTGTCATTCAAAAAGTAAGAGTGCTTCACAGCTCTTATCACACAAGGCATTAAAATATAAACATCAAAATATTGAAAAGAAATGGAATAACGCTTCACAACCCCTGCACCATGTACTGATAAAGCCAATAAGTATTGGAGTGAGTCGTGAGTTTTTCATAGTTGCCTCCCTGTTATGTCCACTCTTCCAGACGAGAGGCCACCCTAAAAGTCATTTATTGATCCTTTTGGCCACATATAGCCGACGCATCAAAGTAACTAGCCGCTGATTGTGGGTGTGCGCAGAAGGCAGAGGACCCAGAGGAGCAGATGTCAGAGGTGGCGGCTTTGATCGATTCGTTGGAGACCCGTCTGATGAAAGAGAACGTCAAGCGGCTCCTGGGGGCCGTCTACCTCAACTCTCAAATCATCCAGAAGTCTGGGGTCCCCACCTGTGGCCTGGTGCAGTACATGAGCTCGCAGAGCCACGACCGAGACGCAGAGGTCACCGCTGTTTGTTTGTTGTGATGTTTGGTGATTGTCTGATGGTTGAGCTGTGATCTCTGTGTACTAGAGATAGGAGGCCATAGAAGAACATTTATTGTATAGCACACATGTCAAACACATGAAGTGTTTATTTGGCACCAGTTAAAGCAGGATTACTCACTCTAATTTGATTGGCCGACATGCACGTAATGACAATAATAATGCATTGGTCCATGTCCAAGACTATTCACAGCATTATTCTCTCACTCTGTAAATGATGAGTTATTGTCCTGGGGAACACTGACGGAAGCACAGCCCCTCCGACCTCCAACACCAGACTCAAACTAGGCAATGTGGGTTAGGCACCAGGTGTCCCACTGTGTCACCTGGTGTTCCCAGAGGTCTTCCATCACAGTACTAACCAGGCCCTGCCTTGCTTAGCTTCATAGATCTGACCGTAGTTGTCTTTCACATGAAGTGAACAGGATCAAACCCTTTCTACTCCATTTATGCTGACGAGTAACCACGTAAACCAGATACTACAATGACAGCAGATGGATTTAAGGACACGGGGAAAAGTGTATATTTTAATTCAATAGTCTCTCGCCCACGTCGTTCATGGTGCAACAGTCCACAATTTTCACTAACAAAGTTTAGCCCCGTTTCCACAAGCCCTAAGTGGAAATTCAACCAGGCCAAAGGTTGGTCAGACCGGTTTGGGAGCAACATCAAATACAGTAATTGTTTTGAAGCGTAGTCTTATTCTTAAGGTTTTGTAAACGTACTAATTGCGTGAACTGTATGAACCTTTTGTAAAACTTTTTCCTTGTGGCTTTCTGGGCCTCCGCAGGTCCTGATCGGTCACCTGAAGAATAAGCTGTGTAAGCAGTCGTACCAGGAGCTCTGCAGCTTGTGTGAGGAGGTGCTGCCCTTTGACGACTGCAGACGAGCGACCTGCGCCAACGGACACGTGTGGCCCAGGTACTGCCCGGCCTCCTCACAACCTCCTCACAACCTCCTCACAACCTCCTCACAACCTCCTCACAACCTCCTCACAACCTCCTCACAACCTCCTCACACCCTCCTCACAACCTCCTCACAACCTCCTCACACCCTCCTCACAACCTCCTCACACCCTCCTCACAACCTCCTCACAACCTCCTCACACCCTCCTCACAACCTCCTCAAAACCTCCTCACAACCTCCTCACAACCTCCTCACACCCTCCTCACAACCTCCTCAAAACCTCCTCACAACCTCCTCACAACCTCCTCACACCCTCCTCACAACCTCCTCACAACCTCCTCACAACCTCCTCACAACCTCCTCACAACCTCCTCACAACCTCCTCACATCCTCCTCACATCCTCCTCACAACCTCCTCACATCCTCCTCAAAACCTCCTCACAACCTCCTCACAACCTCCTCACAACCTCCTCACAACCTCCTCACAACCTCCTCACATCCTCCTCACAACCTCCTCAAAACCTCCTCACACCCTCCTCACACCCTCCTCACAACCTCCTCACAACCTCCTCACAACCTCCTCACAACCTCCTCACAACCTCCTCACATCCTCCTCACAACCTCCTCAAAACCTCCTCACAACCTCCTCACAACCTCCTCACAACCTCCTCACAACCTCCTCACATCCTCCTCACAACCTCCTCAAAACCTCCTCACACCCTCCTCACACCCTCCTCACAACCTCCTCACAACCTCCTCACAACCTCCTCACAACCTCCTCACAACCTCCTCACATCCTCCTCACAACCTCCTCACAACCTCCTCACAACCTCCTCACAACCTCCTCACAACCTCCTCACAACCTCCTCACAACCTCCTCACAACCTCCTCACATCCTCCTCACAACCTCCTCACAACCTCCTCACAACCTCCTCACAACCTCCTCACAACCTCCTCACAACCTCCTCGCAACCTCCCCAAAACCTAGTTAATACTTCGGACATTTTTTACAGTTGTTTACAAAATGCCTTGATGGAAATGAATGAGAATAGGTTTATTTTAAAGAATAAGAGAAAAATAGATGTCCAGATATCAAGATCATTTTTTGTATTCAAAGCATTACGCATTGAACTTCTACATTGTGTTTGCATTTTTTGAGCCAATGATTACCTTCATTAAAATTATGACTTTTATTGAATATTAGTTTGGATATTATTTTTTTTAGTTTTCTGAACAAAAGTACACAGCCAAAAAGATGACTAAAGGTAAAGGTGCACTTTTATTAATCCCCGTAGGCCAATTCATCCTCTGCATTTGACCCATCCTGATGCCACTAAGGCTTACATTAGGAGCAGTGGTTGCCGTAGTAACAGCGCCCAGGAACCCATCTTTAGATGTTGATGCTCGGCTTGGTCAGGACCACCGGGCTGTGTACTTGAGCCGGATTTACAATTATTATTTTTGTGTACATCATTTATAAAAAGTTCCGCACCACATGAAAAGGTTTTTGTGTTACTGTCAGTGGAGTAAAAAATGTAATAAATTGGACGAGGAACTTAAATGTAGAACAATATCCGCGTTCAGAAAAAGATTGAAAGTCATTATTTTTGATATGTTCGTGAAGCATGTTAAAAACTTCCAAGCGCTAGGTTGCAAATGGTAAAGAAAGATATAATTTTAGTTGTAAAATCAGAGTTATAAGTAGGGGTGGAATTACACAAGTTTATTTTTTTTTTTTACTTCTTCCCCCTCCTATTTTGGACATCAATTGTTTATTTTTTTTGCATAATCAATGTGTAATTACATTTCTTTTGTTTTTCTCATCTCAAGTGCCCAAATTAAAAAGCATTCAAAAATTACCAATAGAGTTTTGGATTCACTGCTGCCCCCATGACCTGGCAAACACTGAAGCAGAAGAAAATGCCGTAGAATGAGGTGTGTCAGGCCGTAGTAGCGTCTCCGCCGATGGGACAAAGTTGAGGCAGATGGAAAATATTCCAAAAACTTCAAAAATCGTCCTCGGTGGATCTCTCCCCCTCACGGCCCTCGCTCCTCCGCTCTGGTGCCGGGGCCTGAGCAGAATCCTAATGCCTCACACATTATTTACCCTTCTCCCGGTGCAATCAGAGCCCGCTCCTGATATTTGCACTCACCGCGGCTCTTCAAACAGCTGCTTTGTCTCGGGCCCCAGAGCAGCTCCGGCCTCCGTGGTCACATGACCCGCTGTGCGTGTTTAGGGCCTTTTTTCATTTGTGTTAATGATTTCACTCTGTCGACAAACCACTTCTAGCATGGACAGGCGTTCGTAGGCCTCGCACTATAATCACTGTATCGACTTATTGTTCAATCATTGATATTTTGGTCTCAATAATTATTGTTTTTACTATTTCTTGCAAGTGTAGAGATATTTTTGCTATTTTCTTTATAAAACATGACATTTTTGCTTCAGGGGGTTTAATATTATTCAACTATACTGAATATTTCTCTGCTGTTTTTATCTATCTATTCTGCTTTGTTGTAAATGCGACCGTGACATTAAGTCGTTTCACTATTCTCGTTAATCACATGAATGTTTGTCACAGTCCTTATGAGTGGAGTGACCGCAGGGGGCCAGATCAATATTTAATTTTATTCCATCTCAAATCTGTCTTTTCTAGTTAAATTAGTCGTATTTTGGCCAAATCGCACGACCACAGTGACGTGTGGTGACACCAGTGACCGTTGCTGGTTTGAAGTCCTGTCCTGTGAGTTGTGTGTCCCTGCAGCAGCCCCCCCACCTCTCCTCCCTTCGCCGCCTCCTCTTCCTCCCCCTCCTCACCTCCTCCTCCTCTCTGCGCTCTGCTCTCCAGGTGTGGGCTGTCATACCAGGCCTGCCAGGCTCTGACGTTCAGACGCTGCCTCCTGCTGGATACCGTCTCCGTGCTGCCAAAGCCCGAGGGTAAGAAGCCGGTCCGCTCTTGTCACCTCCGCCTGTCCAAACCAGCCTCAGCCGCCACATTCCTGACGCTAAAACACTGCACTGATGTCACGTTAGTGCGTCGCAAAAAATAGATATTAAAAAATAGGATTTAAGAAGTCAAAACCGTTATTTTATGTAATGTCAAAGATGTCAAATTCTGACCAAAAATATCTCGGAAATTTACACTTTAGGTCGAAGACATTTAAACTTCTACAGCCGTTCATCCTGATGATGTTCGAGGTGACGTAGCTTTAAAGCTGGGGTACCTGACTTTCAAACAAAAAATGCAACTTGGTAATAAAATCCACTACTTCCTCATGTTTGTGTTTTTGGCCTTGGTCACATCTGTAGATCATGTATTTTAATTATGATCTAACATGTTTGGGTCTGATTTGTTCACAGAATGTTGCTGTTACAAGACTATTGGGAAAAATGTATTTATGAAAAAATAAAAAAGTCACTCCAGTTTTATTGTGTGCCACAAAAAAGTAGTTTTGGAAATTTGTCAAGAAACAGCTTTATAACTGTCTCTTCAATTAGACCAGGCCATGTTGGAGTTAAATGTTCTACCTCTCGATGGCCAATCAACTCTCAGCCCAACATCTTCTTTGTCAGGAGAGATCAACTCTGGTCTCTCTTTCTGTGGTCTCTATCTCTCTGGTCTCTCTCTCTGGTTTCTCTCTCTCTGGTCTCTCTCTGTGGTGTCTCTCTCTCTGGTCTCTCTCTGTGGTGTCTCTCTCTCTGGTCTCTCTCTCTGGTTTCTCTCTCTCTGGTCTCTCTCTGTGGTGTCTCTCTCTCTGGTCTCTCTCTGTGGTGTCTCTCTCTCTGGTCTCTCTCTCTGTGGTCTCTCTCTCTGATCTCTTTCTGGTCTCTCTCTGTCTCTCATAAACGTGTCTAGAAGTGGTAACAATATTCAAAAGCGTATGCATGATGTAGAAAAGAAAGTGATAGAAAAGACTCCCAGAAATAGGAACAACATGAAAGGTTTGAGAATCTTTCATCTTTCAGCATTTCTTTCAAAAATTGCCTCTTCCCTCTAGAGTTGTTTGGCATCTGCCCGAAACACCAAAATACACTTCTACAACATGAACACAACCAATTGGGTGGAAAAAAAGGTTCGGTACCCAAGCTTTAAAACCTTAATTGTCCAGAAAGGGGCAAAACCAAGTAGAGATCCCCCCCCATCTGCTTTGAGCCGTCTTAGCCGTTAGCCGTAGCATTAGCCACATCTGTCTCGGTCCGCGGTCACTTCTCCAGAGCCGTGACAAGCCGCTACTGTTTGTGGCACATGTCAACCTTCAGCGCCGCCTCAGCTGCCAACAAAACATCTGAGCGGCTATATTCGAACCAGGATTTACCGCCGGCCGCAGACCACGCCACTCACACTCCTCAGGTAAAGACTTGTTGACGTGTCGGAATCCCAGGCTGTTGTACCGCGGGCGAGCGCTGACAGAAGTGGGTCCGACAGGTTGTTGTGATTTTCCAATTTTAACCTGTTTTGGTGGAATAACGGCTGTCATGTATAAATGACCATAACAGCCAGAGCTAAGGAAGAAAATCACTAGATCCCATTTCAATCCCCACTTTATTATCTCATACCTCTGGTCACTTTTGGATAATCATTTTGTGTAATATCTATTATGTGTATTTATATTTTTGTATTTTGTCTTAAAGCCACGCATGAATTTCCTTTTATCTACTTTATCTACTACTCACTTTTTTATACCCGAGCCAAAAAGAGCAAAGTTGTCAAACCGAATGGCAGAACTTATGCTAAAGTTTGGCACAATTTACAACATACATTTTTATGTCGTTTCAATAATATGCTCAGATATTTAATTGTTAGTTATTAAACTTTATTTACAGTGACAGTGGCTTGTAAAAGTAATGAAACACTGAACTTTTTTGTCATGATCACACGTGCTCTCCACGGAATCTAAGACAACTGGGCAAAACTTTCCGTCTCTGGATGTGCAAAGCTTGTAGCGTCGTCACCAAAAAGATTGCAGACTTGTTCTGTTTGAAAACTGGGGCTCACCTCCTTTTTCAGATGTTAATCTCAAATAAATCCACACTTTTCTGGTTACGTTGTTGAAGCCATTAAAAAGAAAATTCAAAAAAAGAAAATATTTATTGTGTGGTTGAAAAACATGACAAAATGTATAAAAGATGAATTTAAGAGTGAAAGTTGTGTTAGTAATTTTCTCACAATGTACTCAGTTTTCACCTAATTTAGTAAATAAGTCATCTTTATAGATATGGCGCATTTCATAGAGCTACAAAACGGTACGAATTTTTTACATTGTTACTTGTTAACGTCAATCACAATAAGGAAGTCAATTTCTAAATCTAATAAAACCAGTTTAAACTGGGATGAATGTGAAGTGTGTTGTGTGAAAGGTCTTGTCCAGGGCTGCTAAACTCATTTTGGTCGGGGCAGAATAAATAGTCAAGGAACTGGAGAAAAGAATAGAAGGGATTTAAATCTTTTTCTTGACATTTTTCTCGAGTTTATAGTTTCAACTAAAACTGGAAGTTGAGCACATGTCACTTTTAAAATGTTAGAATACATTACATTTGGTTGTTTTCATGAGAGAATGGATAATGTTTACCTTGGTAGACTCATAACCATCAATGCTGCAAGGTAATAATTTTAGTGGCCACTGAAAATTGTCTTGAGGACCAGATTTGGCCCACGAGCCTGGGTTTGTCATGCCTGGTCTTGTCTAACCTGTCATACTCACTAAAGGGAAAAAATACATTCTGTAAATGAAGTTTGAACAAATAAGTATATATAGAAGCACGTGTCATCGCCCCTGTCCAGCTCTCGAGTGGTCCGTCCATCGTCGGTCCAAATATTTTCCCGGGAGCTGCAAAAAATAGAGCAAGGATGGAGTTGGAAGCCGCCTGACACCGAGGAGACGGCTCACAACACCAAAACAACGTCCGCTCTTTCAACATTTCTGCTTTATTTTTCTGTGTTGCCCCATGAGCTGAGGTTTGGTGGAATTCTGAACGGTTGCATGAATCCTCTTAAAGCTGGGGTACCTTTCTTTAAACCACAAAAATAGAGCTTTGTGATAACATCTGTTTTAACTAGTTCCGCGCTGTCAAAATGGGTTTGTTCAGTCACTGGTCTTCACATGCATCCATTTTTGTAGCTCCTTTCAAGTCTTTAGATCAGCTTTTTTAGATGACAAAGTTCAAAAGAGAGGACCACCCTCAACCAGCCAATCAGCTCTCAGCCCAAAGAGTCAAGTCGTGACACACAGGGCTCTTTCTTAGTCTGCAAAAGATGTTTTCTGATAACATGGAAGACGGCATGTGGTGATCCGATTTGTTCAACATTTTACATTTACAAGACTCTTTCAGGGACAAACAAAATGTATTAGTTATTAAGGTTGCCCTGCTTTAATTTCAACAATGCCAACATCAATTTCACACTCAACTATAGTGCTACAGTGTGCAACTTTGTGCGGTAGTAAAAGTTTATAGTAAATACAGAAGTTAATAATTCCACATGTTCTGATTTATTTGCTTACTGTCTTTATAACATTTCTTTATGGCTTAACAAAAACTTAACTTGTTGGGCCAAATGTAAACACTTCTGTATGAAAGCAATATATAAAACAAATCTTGTTGCTATCTAGTCTTCAGAGCACATTGAAGTAGTTGGTGCGGCTTGATTGTGACCGTGTGCCTCTGGTGCAGACCCGCCGTGGATTCAGAAGATGCTCCAGGCGCCGTGTACTCTGTGCGACTCTCCCCTGCTCTGAAGCTGCGAGGCGGGGGAAGGACCTCGGGCTGCTCCGCCACCTCCTCACATCCAACACTTCTGTACTCTTCACTTTTGATATTATTTAAAAAGAAAATAAAACACTTTTGCTTCATCCTGTGTGCTCCATCTCCTGGTTTATATTCTGCTTTCTGTACCGCCCCTGTAGAGAAATACGTCCTCTGCATTTGACCCACCCTTTAAGGCCACTAGGGCGTCTGTCAGGAGCAGTGGTGGGAGATGTGTGGTAGGGTGATGCGCTGGGTCAGGACCAAAGCTGGAGGATATTGCCTATTGTACATGTTTCAGTGGTAAGGAAACCAGAGGAAGCAGGAAGGGTAGAACATGCAACCCAGGACCTTCTTGCTGGGAAAGTGAAAGCGCTAACCACACTCAGCCACTGTGTCTTCCTCCATTTACTTACACATAGAACTGGTCTGATTCCATGGAGAGCCATAGCTTATGCGGTTAGCACTCTCACTTCTCAGGGACTAGAATCCTGGTCGGAACATGGCCTTTCTGAGAGGAGTTTGCATGTTCTCCGTGTGTCTGCATAGGTTTCCTCCAGGTGCTCGGGTTTCCCCATCACTAAAGTACAATGGGTAAAATCCTCAAGCTCCAGTCCTTACCTAAGAACATCTACATATACAGATGTGTCCCCTGGTGCTGACCTGCGCTGACCACAGCTGCTTACCGGTTGCCGTAGGGACCTTGCTGGATGGGTCAATAAAGTCACAGGGAGAATAAAGTATACCTTACGACCTTGACGACTGCTGAATCATCACTGAGCTTATCCACCTCCAGAAAGTCATGCACTGTGACCAAACCAAACACCTCTTAGAAAACAGCCGTTATCTCAGGACTTCACAAGGTTGTCGTTCCTCAACCACAGATCAGAGAATCAATCAATCTTTTTATTTCAAACTTCGTTGTCAAATCCAGTTCATAATACATTTTTATAAAAAGAAAGACAAAAAAAGCTTCTTTGTACACTCTGTACTTCTATGCTCATTGTAAAACAAATAACAAAACAATAATTAAAGCCGCAAGCAGCGTCGAACGGCCCTCGCCGCACCGCACGCACCACCCCGCACCAAGCCGCCCAGCACCAAGCCGCCCCGCATCAAGCCGCTCCGCATCAAGCCGCTCCGCACCAAACCGCCCCGCACCAAGCCGCCCCGCACCAAGCCGCCCCGCACCAAGCCGCCCCGCACCAAGCCGCCCCGCATCAAGCCGCACCAAGCCGTCCCGAATTAAGCCACCCTGCACCGAGCCGCCCCGCACCAAGCCACCATGCATCAAGCCGCCCCGCACCAAGCCACCATGCATCAAGCCGCCCCGCACCAAGCCGCCCCGCACCAAGCCACCATGCATCAAGCCGCCCCGCACCAAGCCGCCCCGCACCAAGCCGCCCCGCACCAAGCGGATCTGCACCAAGCCGCAACGCGCCGCTCCACAACCCCCCGCACTACGCCGCACCACACCGTACCACGCAGCACCGTGCAACGAAGGTGGGGCCGCCGTGTAATGATTTGTTGCTGTTGCCATAGAAGAACGTTAGTCAAATTGTAATGAATATGATGATTAGAGCTGTTTGGCACCCCCTGTAAAACTTTGCCTCAATCTGTAGGGGGCGCTATTGGGCCAATTTCAAATATTTCACTTTCACCTGACCTAAACCTTGGAGTTGGACAATGGATTCAAGTTTTGTGAAAATCAGACTTTGTTTGTGCAAACGGGAGCAAAATTAATGTTGTGAAAAACGGTCACAAAACACTCACATTTTGCCGCTCCGCTGCTCAAACAACGTTTTACTGATCAAAAATCCTTGAGGTCATTTGATGGTACATGTGTTTAGACAATGTGGAGTGATTTTGAGGCCAATCGGTGAAACGGCCAAGGAGGAGTCGCTTTCCAACCGACATGTATGGAAATGATTGCGGATCATTTTTCCATTTTGCAGTGAAATTTATGGGCTTCCTGTTTGTCAGAGGGCGGAGCCATGGTAATATTTCGGTCGTATCTTGACTTGAGGAACATGTGTACCGAATTTCATGGCTCTACGACAAACTTGACCTCTGAAACTCCCATTGGCTGTTGTAGGTGGCGCTATTCTGGCATTTTTGGAGTCCCATAAAAATAAACAACCAAATATCAAATTTTCACCAGGTCTGATGTTTGGGCAAAATTTTACAACTTTTCATGCATGTTCAGGGGGTGAAATTAAGGCTCAAAGTGCAGAATTTGACATCTCTCGAGCAAAAACAATAGGCCTTTTCCCCGTTCGGGGCTCGGGCCTAATAAATAAAAAATATGAGAAGCAATACAAACATCACAAATAAATACAAGAAAAATACAAAATAATGACGACAAGAAAGTACGAAAGGGAGTGGGAAGAAGTAAATACTTCTTAAGTCCTACCCCCAGTGTATCACAGTACAAACACAGGATATGCAATAGTATCAAACGGGATTACCACTGTCCATAAATGTCCCGGATCATTGTCCTCAGAACGACCTGAATCGGCAAAGACCACTCAATAATAAATAAAAACATCAAAATGAATGAGAAGCCGATATAGTTTGAAAACCAAGGCCTCAGAACAACCAACAAAAATCTTTGCAAGTCTTTGAATCCTACTTTCCACAGAAGTAAAGCATTTTTGTCTTTACAGAATGTGCTCACCTTTGTACTAAAATTATAACCGATCCCTGTTTGCACAAAGCAAATTTAAAACAACCTTCTATAGGCGGCGCGCATTATTTTTCACAAGACTCGGCGCGCCTTAAATTAGCCCCATATTTCCCTGTGTTGACTATATCTCATCTCGCTTTTGGAGTAGTTTTTATTAGTTAGTGGAACTTATACCGCGCCTCGCCTATGTTTTCCCCTTTATTTGAGCCAACAAATAATGCGTTCTGAATTAAACATAGGAAAAGACGCGTACCTGCTTTAATTGGTAAAACAATTTGAAAGCGTCGGGAGGAGGTCGGCGTTGCCCGTGTGTGAAGGAGGAGGTTCCCACGGGAGCGCTCCTAATCGTATGCAGCAGTAATGAGGGACACAACATGGCGCCAGATGTGGGTTTAATTCTAATCAAGCCGAGGGAGACGGCGAGGAGGGTGTGCGAGCACGCGGCTGACATACCGCGGAAATACATGAACCCTTCTCCCCATATGCTGTCGAACATCTGTGTCGAGGGGGACGGTCACTCACCTCGCTTAACGGGAGGCCAGGGATGACACGCGGCTGATGGCTTTACACAGAATTGTCAATGGGGAGATGGGCGAGGCGGGTTTAATTGTATTGCACAGGTTGTAGTCGAGGCAGTTCAAAGTGGTTCGAATGAAAGGAGATGTCAGGAACTCAAACTGAATTGCAGGTTGTGTATTCCTGACCAAGATATCTGTTAATCTTGGACTGTAAGCCATTTCTTTATCCTAACCTTAACCCAGACCATAGGCTTAAGACTAACCTTTACCCTAACCAATTCAACTACATTTATATTGTTTAGCCTTAAATGAAACACATAAGAGCCATTGGTCCATAGGGATCGGGATGTTCTATGTCCATAAATGTTGCTAATGCTATACTCAGGTTAAATCTGCCACAGTAATTTAAAAAATACCCCCTTTTATTTTCAAGCTGAATTTTGATGATTTTTCCAAACTTGGGCAGCCCTGGGTCATTTAGACCGTAATTTAGGGTATGTTTTTGTGGTGTGTTATTTTGACTCAAGACACAAGGGTTCATTAAATGTCCTGGATCACCGCTGTCCTGATCCTCCCGCATCTGCAAGGAGTAGGAATGAGAAACCCATATTAAGAGAGGGACGGACAGGCTGTAGATCCAGGGCTCAGGCTGTAGACCATGACCTCTCACCCCTGACCTTAACCCTATAGTCTCACCTGACCCAATGAACCATTGATCCTGCACTCACACATGGGACACTGTACTATTATGTACAGTAAGTATTTTATAACAATAATAAATATTAAACAGTCCCTCCCCATGGCATAAATGCAACCAGTAAGATTTGCTGGAAAAGAACATTTAAACCAATGACAAAGGATCTCAAGAATTTGATTGAATTTCGACCAATCGGGGGGTTGCAGGGGGGAGCTTGGGCGGACCTAACTGTCTTCAAAAGGTTTCACACTCTCCACAATTTGATAAGTAACCGACATTCAGTGGCCAAAATTTCCAGCCAAGAGTTCTCATTCATTCGTTATGTTTCAAGCAGATTCAATTATTACAGATTTTTTAAGGTGTTTTATAGAATTAGAATCTGTGGGAATGTGTTAAAGTTAGAGAAAGGGTCAGGAAGTTAAAACACATAGCTTAGCTTCAGCGCCTGACACGATCTGCTTTCACCTGCAGGTGCCACCAGGACCTTGAGGTCTTTACATAAGTGCATCATGTCCTGACCCCTGTGTTAACAGGCCCCTGGGGACCGCGTCAAGTCTGTGGAGCGCAGCGTCACTGGAGATGAGAGGCTCTGAGCCTCAAACACCACAGATCTGCACTCGCTTCACCGCACTCTAGACAAACTCATTCTATTAGCATCCATAAAAACAACCTATAGTAGTATCAAGTCAGTTTTATTTATATAGAACCTTTCACAGACAATTCTCTGGCCCAACACGGGCGGCATGGTGGCTGAGTGGATAGTACTCTCGCCTCTCAGCAAGAAGGTCCTGGGTTCGAATCCCGGTCGGAACAGGGCCTTTCTGAGCGGAGTTTGCATGTTCTCCCTGTATCTGCGTAGGTTTCGTCCGGGTACTCCGGTTTCCGTTAAAAAAACATGCACAACAGGTCTGGCATGTGCCTCCTGTACTGGTGACTCCGCTCCCATCTCAGTGTGAAGTGAGAGACAAATGCCCAAAAAATAACAATTCTAAACCGCTTTGTGACTCTGGGAAAGGCAGTATATAAATGAAGATTACTTTCTTAACACACTCACTGATGCTGTGAACCAACAGTAAAACATGTCTTCTGCTG